AGCAGTGGATCGAACGAGTTGATTTGTCGCTCACTGCTCTCATAACCACTTCAAATCTACAGCTGCAGCTTACCTTTACACAGTTGACTCGCAGTCCCCACGGCTACGCTAAGGCAGCTTGACGATTCTAAGCAATTGCTAATGGTGACGTAAACCCGGCGCTTCCCCACGCTGAGCCGCCAGCGACAGGGGTGCTTACAAATGTCTGCGTTAGCGGCTGCGGGCTTAGTAACGCCCTCGACCTCCCAATCCATAGCACACAGAGTACACGCATAGTAACAGTGAAGAGCTCTATTCCGTGATCCTATTGCCTATTTGGCTGACCACAGTGTCTGGCCATTCTAAAACCCTGCGCTTCTAGCCTCGCCAATCCTGGCAGATATCATCAATTGCACACGGCCCCGCTTACGCCATCTTCATCTTGATGTAGGGAACCTCAACGTCCTCGCCGTCCACGTCCTCGGCCACCATCTCGAAAATGACCTCCTTCTGGTGAGCCGGCACGGGCTTTTTGGACACCGTCTCGACGAGCTGGCTCAGCTTCAGGTTCTGGCGGTCCTTGAGCTTGGCCGGAGGGAAGAAGCTGGCGTACAGCAAGCTGACGCCGGAGCTGAGCATGGAGATGGTGAGGCCCTGCTTCTCAAAGTGCTCCAACAGCTCCTTGAGTGTGATGTCGTTGACCTCGAACCGGTCCCAGATCTTGTCCAACTTGACAATGCCGTTGGGGCCCTTGAACTCTACCTTGGGGCTGGCAATGGGCTCGCTGAAGCCGAAGAAGGGCAGCGCCAGGTTGATGAAACCATTCTTGTACTGCTCAATGTCGTCCTTGCCATCAATGACCTTGTACAACTCCAGAATCACCAAGCCCGTGACGAGCGCCGTTGTCGTCGCAATCGCCGGGATGATCTTGCCGGCAATGAACTTGGTCTTGTGGCGGTCAGCCTGCTCAATCTTGTAGTTGGCCGCACGCAGGTTACTGCAGGCCGTGATGAAGTCAATGTGGTGGTTCGAGTCGTCGTCCTTTTCAAAGTCCACAGGCTGCAGTTGGAAGCCGGCAAGCTCGTTAGGCGAAGGGAGGCTGCTGATGAGCTTCTGCAGCTCGTCGTTGTCGTCAAAGGAGCTGCCCGCGTCGGCGTTGGGGTCCTAGGTCTGTCAGTATTTGCATGTTTACATGGACTATAAACTCACAGGATCGCTGTCGTTGGCCTGGATCTTGACACCCTCGGCGGGTGAGAACTCGGGCACAATAATGTTGTCGAGCTCGCGCAGGTAGATGTCCTTGGAGGTGCCGGGCGACTTGATGTTGTAGTTGAAGGCGTGCAGGTTGGCGGCCGCCACGACAAACGCAAAGTGTGTCGGGTTGTTGGCGTCAAACTTGAGCGGCTCAGGGGCGCGCTTGGGCCCGGACCAGAAGGGGGTGCCGGTCGACGTCGTCGAGTCCTTGGGGAAGTTGTGCAGAAGCTGCTGGATCTTGTTGTTGAACTCCTTCTCAAAGAGAATGCGCGCCCACGCAACGCAGTCCTCAAAGGTCCGCGGGCGGTCCGTCGTGAGGTAGTCGCGGAGCGTCTCGAGCGTCAGCTTGGCGCTGCCACCCTGCTTCAACGTGCCCTCAATGTAGTTGGGCTGCGTCAGGTACAGGTTGACCGTCGAAGGAGACGTGACAAAGAGGTTCTCAAACATGTGGTCCTTGGACCACGCGATCGTGTGCTCAATCTTGTTGGGGAAACTCTTGACGGTGCACATGGGGAACTCCTTCTCAGGGGGGTCCTGCGACGAAGAGTACGACTCGGTGAGATGGGGGAGGACGACCTGGGTGTTGCCCTTGGTTCCGAGCGTTCCGCTCTCGAGGAGGGGCTTGCGGAAGAAGACGCAGCGGCGGTCGACGTACGTTCTGGCCTCGACGTTGTCCAGCGCGTTGGTGACGCCGTCGAGGTTGCCCCAGAACTCCTCGTTGAAGGTCTCCTCCGTCTCGGGACTCACGCGATCCTTGAGGCACACAATATGGCCGTTCAGATCGGGGTTCATCGCCTGCACGGCCTCGGCAGCGCAGTCGCTCTTCATCTTGCCAACGTCCTTGGGGCGGAACAGGAACTGACGGTTCAGGTTGCTCTTCTCGATAGAGTCCATGTCGGTGACGGTGATCTGGCCCTTGGGACCGGTTCCGAGACCAATCATGGCCCAGTTCTTGAGCATCTCACAGCCAATGGCGCCGGCACCAACGAGGAATTGCCGCAGGTTGGCAATCTTCTCCTGGTACTCACGGCCAAAGACGACAATCTGGCCGTCGTAGCGGGTGCCGAGAGGCTTGCACAGCTCGGCGGTGCGGGCGGAGCTGGTCGGCAGAGACTCGAGCGAGTCAAAGTACATCCACTGCTGGATGGGCTGGAACTTGCCCGAGACGGCCTTGAGGATCTCCTGCGCCGCGATTCCACCAAACAGGGCAGCCATGGCGTTCAGGTCACCAAGGGACTGGTAACTCAGCTCCTTGAGGAGCTTCTCGTCAAACTCCACCTCGACGCCCTCTGCCTTGGCAAACGCCTCGGCGGAGCGCAGAATCACAGTCGCATCCGTGTCGTCCAGGGGGTTCGGGAAACGGCCCTGGCTCTCCACAAAGGCGTGCAGGGCCTGGAAACCGAGGTGAAGCTGCTGAGGGCGGTCAAACTTTGCAAAGTCTGAAATCATGAACTCGGGCTCCTTGAGCGCGGCAGAGAAGCTCTTGAAGTTGATCTTCTTGGGCATCTTGACCTGCTGGTACAGACCGCCGCGGACATACTGGCCGAGGCCGGAAACGTCGCCGATGGAAAAGGTATACGGGCCCTTGACGGTGATCTTTCGCGGCTCGCCTCCGTTGAGCTTCTCCATGCCCTCGATTTCTGAAAAGGTGACATAGTCGCCGTCCTCGAGGCCGTGGCGGGTCTCATCGAGCGCCGAAACCAGGCCCTCCTCGTCGATGCCCGCAATGATGCCGGTCAAGGGCGCCTCGCCGGTCGGGTCGATGACGGTGAAGTCGGCGCCGAAATCGCAGAAAATCGAACCGAAAAGACCAAACGTATCGGCGGCCACGACGTAGATGCCCTTGGAGTGGCAGTAGTCGCCAATCAGCGCCTGCAGCTTCAGCGGCAGGCTGGTCAGGACGACGACCTGGTACTTGTCAAACTGGGAGAGGTTCTCGCCCAGGCTGTACGTGTCAGCGTAGTCTCGCGGGAGGGCTTCCCAACTCACCTTGACGACTGGTGGACCTTGACGGGGGTGTATGCATTCAACTCGGCGACTCTCGGGGCGGTGACCTCGTCTCTCGGCTTGCCGACGTCCTCGGGGTGCAGGAAGAACTGTGAAGACAGGTCGGCGAGGGCGACCTGGCCGGGGTCGTAGAGTGTGAGGCTCTTGACGCCGGCAAGGGCAATGTTCTTGGCGATCTCGACACCCAGGCCCTTGAGACCGACAATGAGGACGTTGGAAGCGCCCATGCGCTTCATGGCCTCGTGGCCCAGCACATAGAGCTGGCGACTGTAGAGCGACTCATCGATCTCGGTGTTTCCGACGACGGAGTCGTCGACCTGCATGCGGGTCACCAGGTCGACCTCCGGTAGCTTCTTATCCTAGGGGGTCTCCAAGTCAGCGGCGCGATGCGTGGACGATGCGGGGTATGTAGACGGAGGCGATACGGCGACAACGTACAGCCATGGTTTTCTTATTGGGATCAGGTGTCTCCCCGTTGGAGAGTTTGCGCTTCCCCAGCTTGACGATGCCGGACCGGAACGTCGTTTGCTATGACGTGGAGGGAAACACGGGCGGCGGGTGGGACGATGAAGCTTCCAACCCCACCAAACAAAGACGTGTGTGTTCGTGTGTTCGTATCGTGGAACCGCGGTTGGTTCTCTCGTCGTTCGTCAAGGGTGCAGAGAGAGTGTCGCTGCGTTTCGTGGGAAAGGTAAGGGGAAATAATGCACCAGGCAAGAAGCGTCGTGTTGCAGTTGATGTGGTTGTGCAGGAAGAAAGAGCAGCCTCGTTTCTGGTGATGTAAAGGTGGTCGTGGAGCCGGATGTGGAGGTGTCGACGAGGGGCAGGGGTGCGCCTGGGTTACCTCACGTAAGGCAGGCGATGCAGGCCGGCTGGCGCTGTGAGGTTGAGGGAAGCTCCACTGGGCGATTTCTAAACATTGCCCCTCAATGCGTTCAGTAGTGAATAAGGTACAGCCTAAGACGGCCTCAGCTAAGGTGAGGCAGTGTCGTCTGCACTGTGTGTACGTTTCTTCCAGGGTGATGCATGTGGGTCATTATGTATCGTAGCAGGCGGCACTTGTACGCACGGTAAGAAACTACTGTGTGTCGTATTCTCCGAGAATCTACCGATTTCCATCACCACTTGAAGTCAACCTGAATGTGAGTCCTGGGCTTGGCCGTTTGGTTTGAGTAGGATATTCGAGCGCAGAGGTTCTTGATGTTGCTTTTTCGTGAACTTCATGCTAGTATCTGCAATATACTACTGTACTGCCCAAGGAACTTGATTCTGTCAACATAAAGATGTTGACGCTGATCAGTGAATGAAATCAAGACAACGATTTAAACAGCAAATAAAACCCAACACAACATCCACCAACACAAATAGACTCTCTGAACTCTTCGAATGAAATTAGATGCGTCCATCATCATGATCCCGATTTTTTATGATCGTCAAGTCCAGTGCACGTGGGAAATGGTGAGTATCATGGTACAAGGCCACTCCTCAACCGCAGCGAGCAACATGCGTAGACTGTGTAATAGTCCCCAGAATTCATGTCTGCAGCGTCCCCTCATAGTTACTAACGAGCACCCATACACGATTAAGACAGGGCGTTCGTTGGGAAGAATTGGAGATGAGACAAGATCAAGATCACATGAGTACGTGTATCACCAGCACCGCATGCCGTGTGACGTGGGTTCCAACCAGACCCGGAGGTCGCGCGTGCGATCCGGCAGCCACACGAAAACACTACACACTAAGCGACAGTAGAGACGTTATTACGCGGCAGTTGAAGAGAGTATATTTGGGCCCGAGTATGCTCTAGGAACTGTACTATCCACCCTGTAAGATAGGCCGCGTGTGCCTACTCCATGTCATCTTTCCAGCTAACCGCTTGCGCGAAACGAAGTACAGCTTTGATGCTTTACTGGACCTTCTTGAGCTCAACGTCGCTATGGGATGTGGTTAGCCAACGACGCCTTGGTGCTGACAGACAGCAATGATTTTTTGGGTCAACGTACAAGATGAGGTCGGCGTTGGGGGGAATGTGGCCGGTGAAGCCGCTGTCGGGGAACAAAATCAGCATCAATTGGTCGTCATGGTAGCAACAGATGCCTGGCATGGCCTTGGGCACCGTTGATGGTGAGTATTGCTTACCGCTCGCCGTAGGCGTAGTCACTGCAAAAAACACGTTAGCCAAGTTCATGGTCTTGCCGTACGCTGTACAAAGCCCCGGAACGGGGACTATAGGACAGATGTTCCTTACCTGGTGATGTCGAGAGTAGCCTTCTCGCCGACGTTCATCTGGGTGACACCCTCATCCCAGCCTGCATTCATGCGTCAGTAATCATCCAGTTCCGCATTACCGGCATCGTGTATGTATTCGACGAAGCCCGAAGAAGAGAGGAAGGGAGGGAGGACGTAGGCAAGCGTCTTGGTGCAGACATACCCTTGATGACCTGGCCGACGCCAATTCTGGTGACAAAGTCGCCGCGGCCGACGGAGGAGTCGAACCTGGCAATTGAGCACTCGTTAGCATGCCATGCAAGCGAACAGAGACGGGCGGAGTGGAGGGAGTGTTTGCTCACTTGGCGCCCTTGTTGTCGGGCTTGGAGGTATCCTTGAGGAAGCCAGTGTACTCAATGGTGACAGTCTGGCCGGGCTTGGGGATGGCGCCGGAGCCGGACTGGTGAGTCGTCTTGGTAACACCCATTTTGTCGGTTGTGATTTGTGAAGTGATTGGAGTGTGTGTTTGTGGTGATGTTGGTGGGAAAGAATTGTCAGAGAAGGAAGCTGAGGGAAGCTACTGCTTTAAAGACAAGGGCAGCAAAAGCAGGTAAAGGGAATCCAAGTGGGGTTGACAGAGGATGGAGGGGTAAAATCGCAGAGGGCAGAGGTCCAGTTAGTTTGGAGGGGGGGCAGAATGCAGCCTGGCGCTCTAAATAGTTTCGTCACCTTGCGATGGGTAGGAGCACCTTATGGTACATTGCGGTGAGGCAAGAGCCACCCAATGTATCTATCTCATGTATCTACCTTACATCCTAGTTTTACCGGTACTGAGAAACGAGGGGATATCGAACCGAACCAGGCATTGCGACAAGCAGAGGAACGGGGGGGAGGTCGACTCGCGCGCATCGCCTCGAATTGCGGTTGCGTGGGTGAGGTGCTCAAACCAAATGGAAAGGGAAAAGAGGTACTTGCCGCCCCAGCCAAGGGACCCGATGACGAACCCGGGCCCTTGGTTGCGGAGACTTGTAAACGCTGTAACCTTTTGCCTGTGTCGCGCCGAAAAGTCTACTCCTCGCCTGGGTACCGTTACCAAGAATCAGAGTCCGCCGTGATGGGCGATCCCGAAGCCAAAGGTCCCCGCCCAGGCGAGCAGAGGTACCTTGCCGACCCCGCCAAACAGCCGGCTGTGCCTTACGTCAGGGCGGCCTGTCAGAACAGCAGGCGCAGGCGGCAGCGGGCAGTTCCTCAACACCCTCAACCACCAGAATTTAACCTCGAGCGTCCAACAACTCCCGGTCGTCTTCGCTTCACCTTGCGCGTAACCTTTCCGAGGTTCATGACCTAGGCAAAGTACCCGGCCAAGGTCTGGTTGGCTGCTCGTGCGCGTGTACCTGGAAGAAGCTTTGCGTGTTTGTATCAGCGCAACACAGCACTGGGAATACCTTTTACTACACAATAATGATCAGAAAATCACACGAAAAGTTGGCAATGGCTACCGCAACTCTCCCACGCACCCCTGGCAATCACACCAAAGGGTCAACAGTTCAACCACGCGGTGGCTTGCGTTGATACGTCAACCTTATCCGTGTCGCTCACCTTTAAGCCAGGCACCTTAAGATGCGAGTCACATCATCTCACCGCCCAAGCCCATACCGTCAATCCGGCTCTCCCACGTCTGGAAAAGCCCCAAACGTAGCTAGCCGTCGAGATTCGGCCGCTCGCGCTGATCCCGCCGCTGCGATTCATCGTTCAGCCGGGTTTCCATCGCTTCTGACTGGTCATCATCACCGCCGTCGCCGTCCTCGCCGCCGCCTACGCAGTATTGCTGTTGCGAAACTTGCGTCTTCCCCCCGATTTCTCCGCTTCAGTCAAACCCACCTCCCGTCGTCCCCCATTGTCAAAAGCCTGCATCACGACGTGCGGGAATTGCCCCTCGGGCAGACTAGCGTCTAAGCGCTAATACGTCGTCCTGCAGCGAACCTGCGAACGAGGGGTTGCGGCTTTGCGGCTTGCCCCAGTTCTCACCTCCCGGCCCTGCGCTGCCCCTCCATCCCATCGCGCTATTCGCAGATCAACGCTCGTCCAACCAACCTGGTGTCACTCGCTGCCGCCGCCACTCGTCAACGTCCAAAGCCAGCCTGGGATTTCGTCGTCGGCATCCAACTGCACTCAAGATGTTGTTCATCAGCATGTCTCTCGGCCACTCGGCCGGTTTGTATACGGTCGTTGGAGTCCCACGGCGCCACCCAGCCCTGCCACAAAATGACGGGGGACGTTGAAAATGACAGGAAGCGGATCCCCACTGTGTCTGCCAACCACCTCCATTCTATCCCGCGAGAAAAAGGCACGTCGCGGGACACGAACGGCAGGAAAAGAAAAGACGAGGTGGATTTCGGCCGGCTGGGGCTTTCTCGTGGAGGCGTCAAACTCGACGCAAATGCTTCCTGGTCCTTGGTCTTTGGTCTTGGGCGGCGGGCACACAATGTGACTGCTCATATCCGTCTGCCATCTGCATATGCATCTTTGCGGCTTTCGCAATACCGTTCTGGTTATGCTTGCGAAGAGCCCGCCATTCATCGTCGTCAATCTAGGGCTAGACTGACAGGATCCCGAGCTGCTCCACGGTCTCGCGGCGGAACACTTCCTGCAGACCCGGTCCCGAGCAGTCGTCAAGGTGAGAAGACCGAAAGAGTCCATGCATTGCAGAAAGCAAGCCGGGTGAAGTTTCCAGGGCAGCGAATTCTCGCCAATGACTGCTTTCGCACGCCGTGTAATGGATGCTGGACACGGCGGCTGCAGCTCCGACAAGGTATATATCTTCATGCTTCCCATGACCGTCCGATCTGCACATTGTTTGCTCCTTCTTCGCATCAAGCCGGTGCACCATGATCGAATGTAGCGGGTTCTGTTTTGATCGAGAGACGAGTGACATGGATTTCTGTCGCGCGTCACATGATCCTGATGAACTGGTCAATACATCAATAATCACAGCTTGCCCACAAACCTGAAATGCCATAAAGGGTGTCGACAGAGCACCGTGAGCAGTCAGAAGCGTAACTGTTCTCATTGTCACGGATGGCACAAGGCAGTCGTTGACTCTCTGTCGACGTGAAGGCAATGAGGTTCTGGTAGTCGCTGAAATGACACTTGACCGGGCAGGTACCGACACTACGGACTGAGCCGACCGGCCATCCGCCCCGTCAAGCTCCACATCCACCGGAGGCTCCGGCGAATGGCACCTTCCTCTCGGCGCCTGCTCTCCGACGAATCGGCCGTGGCATCCGTTGGCGCCTCGAATTCGGAGCGCATACCATACCTGACACGAGCGTCGCAAGATGTAGAGTGCCCAACGAACACTATGAAATGATGAGATCCCTACCCCTGGAGTCCTCGATGCCACAGGCTGAACAGAGCGTCGTAGAAGAAATCAGTGGCCTGGCCGAGTCCGAAATCCTCGCACGTAGGCGACAGGGAAACAGGTGGCTGAAGCGTCCGGTGCCACAGCAGCCCTCTGGACGAGCCTGCAACGGAATCCCTCATTCCCATCACATTCCAGCACCGTACTCTGGTGTCATTTTGAAACACACAGGTAGAGCCGTGTTGTCCTTTGCCAGTATTGGAGACGAGGCTGCCGCAGAGTTCATCCCGACATCTCAAACATGACACCTGTGCAGCATCACCCGCGAGCCGACTCTGCGGTGCTTCGCGGGCGGGAGCACGTGCAGAAAGACACGAGACGAAGACTCGATGCGTGAGAATGCCTGGGTCGTCATGTTAGTCCTGATCTCATGTCAAGTCAATCTTACCTGGGGCCGCATCAGATTCCCGTGAAGTCTGCGAACGGCTGCGGCTCACATCCCAGAGACATGGCCAAACACCCGCGAGGATCATAATATGGCAAATACAGCGAAGATTTGGCTGCTTGGAACGGAAGACATTGGTCGGTAATATGAAGCTGCGGGCAATAGAATGATCGGCAGGTAAACAACCCCCCCCTTCACTTTCAGAGGGAGACTGACAAGCACTCCCCAGCACATCTTGAAACACCTTGGAAAAATGCTGCAATGGGTCCCAAATTCGATTTTCCAGCTGTCCAGCATGTTACCAGGGTTTCAGGGTGTGTAGCCCACATTCTCAGGTGCGGCAAAGCCTCGGGAGCCTATCCGTAGAGGGAGGGAGAGGGCAGCAGCCGTCAGGTCGCACTAAACATAGGAGAAGGCGATTTCGAAGCGATTTCGAAGCAAGACACAGCGTTGCGTGGGTAGCCGAGACGCTGGAGGTGACGAAGGGGGTCTCGAACTCTTGATGCCGTGGTCATAGCGTCTCCCTGGACGCCGCCAGGAACTGAAATTCGTCACTTTTGGACTGGAAGCTTTCATTGGGAGATTGGGAATGAGGGCACGTAGCTATTCAAGTTAGCTCGCGAGCCACGCTCACGCCGTGCCTTGAGTACCTGACGCACCAACGATAGCGCATGTCTTGGTGCTATTTTGACTCAGCCCGGTCCGCTCGCTAGTGATGGTGGCACGCGCGAAGTTGGCAGACACAGTCGATGCCGTTGGAGCGGGAACCGCCACCGGGACTCGGAGGCCGGAGCGGCAGCTTCAGTCTTCAGAGGGGTACCGCGTACGGATACCGCGCCGCCAGGGAAGCAGCAATTGATGTGACTTCATTTCGATGCTTGCTGTGGCTCCCGTCCAATGGCTTCTAGAGTGACGGGTGCCGATGGAACAGACACTCTGGCACGTTGATGACACCGCCGCTTCAAGCTCGACAATGTGACGCGACACAACACGAGACGGGCCGGACGGCAACTTGCGGATAGGCGAGGAATGGGAACGGACATGGCTGTGGCAGAAGAGCAGAGAGACAAGGCATGCGAGTGCTGCACAGCCTTAATCTGTCGTGTATTCAGGAGCGCTGTTCCACCGACCCTCATTCCCTCCTCTCAGGGCATCGCTTCAGGATTCGATCACTGTCCTGCACCTGTGACGACACTGGGGGAGGAAGAGAACTGAACATGGGCCGGGGCACCGATTCCGAGCCCTGGGCTTGAGTTCCACAGAGTCGGATAGAGCATTCGTGTCACGGCCATCGAAGCCCTTCGAAAGAGTTCCACAGAGTCGGATAGAGCATTCGTGTCACGGCCATCGAAGCCCTTCGAAAGCCAGCACTCCGTCTCGAACAGATGACGGGGCTCTTTTGTGCCGATTAAGTTGTCCCAAGGCTGACGTCTGAGTGTTCCTGCGGCCCTGAGCAAGGAGTCGCGTGTGCAACTCGCGTGTAACAGTAAACAATCCAACTGGCCCGGCATGTATCCCGGTGCGCGAACCTGCAGAGACTGAAAACCAAAGAGAGGGATAAAACAGCAAAAAAGCTTCGATTTTTTCTTGCTTGCTCTTTACCCACGTGGAGAAACACACCATCAATGGACGTTGCAGGGTGATCCTCGATGGCTGATCAGAAAGGGCGAGACCATTCGCTGGGCTTGCGTGCCCCCCCGGTGCGTTCTGATCAGAGCTTTGGGTGACTGGCTGATCGGCGGAGACCAACCCCACTTGACGAGTCGCAGAGATATTGACGGCGGCCGGTTTGCCGGTACTGGGACAATAACACACAGCTGGCAGGTTTCCGCCAGTGGCCAGCCCTGCGCAGCTGCGCCCTCGTGCCATTTGTACGAAGACATGGGCATCGAGAAGGTTTTCGACTTGTGCACGAAATCGAGACTCAGTGTTGATGGTGTTGATATTCCCAGAGACTGGGCCGTTGTGCATCGTCGTCTCGCTAGAGCTCCAAATCTCGTCTGTGGCGTGCGTTGGTGCGGTTATGATTAAAGGCTCAAGCCCACGTCCATCAACGGGACATTCGAGACAAGCTAACGACACCGGCGTCGGCTCCCATTGGGCGCGTGTTCTCAGCCATCCACACTATCGCATGGGGAAGGTGGAAGTCGAGCAGGGATGACGCCGACGGGAAAGGGACGAGATCAGGACGCTCCAACGGCAGCCCTGCTGGCGAGCGGTACGAGCGCCTTCAACGAACGGTACCTCGAATAAGCGGGTTTTGGGCCTGTGATCGAGTATCCGCTTTGTACCGCTTCGTCTTGTGGTCCGATCGAAGACCAACAACCGCCGCTTGTTGGAACTTGGAAGTGTGCTGAGCACAACGCGCGTGTCGCCGACCCGCCGTTGAGATGCCAATCGAGGCGCACTGGCATGGCGGTTGTGTCGTTGGTATTTCGACTCTGATGGAACGTCGAGAGCGATGAGAGAATCGAGTGTACTCTCTGTACGATGGTAGTGGTCCAGACTGTCGAATGGTGCCATGCGAATTGGAGTATTGGACGCTACGCGAGTGGTGACTCTGGTGAGGGCTACTTTGTACAGCATTATTGATTCTTGACTGCAGGTGGCGGGCGGCCTGAGCACATCAACTCCCGAGGACGGCAAGCGCAATCTATTATGCTCATAAACATCAATTTAGGCGTGATGCCGGGTTGCAACGGCAGCAACGCAACGTATCTCTACGCCCCGCAAGACTGTCAAGTTGGACGACTCTTGACTCTATTCGTACAGTCACGGCCAAGGAGATTGGTCGAAAGCGTCGCTTGTCGAGTTGTCTGTGTGTCCAGCGTTGCCATGGACCTGGGGACCACCTACAACCCTGGAGCAGTCACAAGACGTGGGCTGCTAGCGTTGGAGTGTTGCAGGGTGGAGGTTGACGAGGGATTTCCACAAGAGGATGTTGTAAATGCAGATTGCCTCCGATTATCATTTCGTCCGGGTTGGGGTTCTTCCAGGGCACATCTGTATCCGTACGGATACCAAGTGTCGTCAATCATACTTGGGTCTCTCGAGGGCAACGATCAACGGCGGGACTCGGTCTGGACTGTCCATCTCGTCAGCTAGCCCCACGGATCCATGTTTGTGCAAAGAATTGGAGGGGGATGATGGATCTGCGCCGTTGGTGGTTCTGGGTTCTGACTCTCCAGTCAATTGACGTGCCCTGTGGTGTGTTTGTGCTCGTTGGACAGCTGGAGGGCCGATGTGTGCATGCATCGGTGCAGGTTTGTGCAAGGCCACGGAAGGGAACGCGCCTTGGAAAGGTGAGGCCAGGGAGGGAATAACCCGCATTGGCAGTTGCCCACCAGTGACCACGCACCTGCCCAGTCTTTGCAAGTTGCCAGTGGCCCACTGCGTGACTGCCCACCTGGAAAAGCCTGGAGAAGGAATCTGGGAAGGAGGAGCGCCCCCCGGCCTTGCCCAGTGACCTCCCCCGGCAAGGGTCTGCAGGGGTCGAACGGCGCAAAATTGCCCGTAGCGTCGCATCACCGAGATTCGGCCAATGATCTGCACTCGCTTGTCAGATTTACCCCTGTTCTCCGGTCCACCTGGCACGGCCTCGAAGGAGCAACAAGCCCCGGCAGAGGACGAACAGGGCCAAAGTTGACAGCAAGGCCGATGGGAGGACCTCGAAGAGGGACTTGCTTCTTTGCAGGAGAGACCACCCAAAAAGCAAGTATTCAATATTGGCGAGGGCGGACAAGGGCCTGGGTCATCCCTACCCCACTCCTAGCCCCACCTCACATCATCTAAAGCTGCGCGGTACGTACCCGGCGGCAACCATTTCTGCCCATTTTTAGCCCGTGCCCCGAAAAAGCTAAGCCCCTCTCTCTCCATTTCCTGCGGGCAGCGGCTGCTCACCATCTTGCACCTCGTCCGCACCTCAACTTCCAGTGCCGCTCAGCCAGCAGCCAGCAGCCAGCTCCCATCAATGCAACGCGGGCAAAAAAACACCGTCTGACGAGTTTGCTTGCCAGCAACGGCTGTGGTGGACTTTGTACGGTACACTCAGCACAGCACGGCACAGCACAGGAACGGTGAACCTACGTTTTCTCCACACCACCTTGCCTTCCCGCCCTCCTACGGAATAGTGTGCTCTGCGTGCGTACTGCAATAAGGCGGACCATGAGTGCCCGGGCTGCTGCTTGCCAGCTGTGCGGACTACCGGCGTTGGCCAGTGATCAGGTTAGGAGTACCGCATATTGGAGTCTTGGACTAGCTAGTGACTCGTTCCCCTGGCCGTCGACCTGAGAGCTGACCGTTCCGACCAACAACCACCAGAGTCTAGAACAGGCACACGGACGAGCACGCCATGACAGAGGGACCTCGACGGTAGACCATGACCAGAACAGCAATGTCATTTCGCGAGTTTTCCCACCCGTCCGACCGTGGACGTCCGGCAGTGATGGCGGACAGGGGCAACACATGGCCAACACTCATCAATGCACCGTCGTCAATGCTAGCGTTTTCCGGTGAGAGTACGGATAGAGAGTTTGGCTTCCACTTGACTATTCTGGACGACATCGAGTCCACGGTACTATCAAATAGGGAAACAGATGCGCACGATGCGGCACCGTCCAACAACACAGTCCAAGTTGGTGTCTTGAGTCTAAAATGTCGAAGAAGCCAACGGCCCGTCTGTTTGCCAAAAATAATACAACACGTCCACGTCTGCAAGATTCGGGGGGAGGGAGATCCCGGGTCTACGCGCTTTGCTCACAATGGGGATCCTCGCCTTGACTAAACAAACCCGTTGGCAGAAACCATACGCCTCAAACCTGCAGAAGTGCAGTGTTCCAACCGTTTGTCGGGCTGTGACGAGAGTTCAGCCGTGACGGTCGAGTCGCATTGTCTTTCATCTCGTCTCTGGGCATTCGTCCATTCTACACAAACCCAATCCACCAAATTCGTCCCAGCTCTGGTCAGGGTTGGCTGGTGTATACTGCGTATGCAATGAAGAGGAGAGATGCCTCTCGGACGACAACCCGCCGTCCATGTGCATTGTCAGTGTAGGTGAGGCTTTTACGAGACTCGTCGGTCTCAATCCTCAAAATGGTATCCGTTTGGCTCCAAAGAAGTGTCCGTCAGCCCTCAGGACCCAGTCAGAGTCAGTACGAGTCTGACTGACTTTGCTGTGCCCAGGAGAGTTGCGTAATGGTCGGGCGACGTTGGCTGTCCCTCTCGGCCGTGGACGCTGACGGGGATGCAATAAGGTACTTTGTACACTAAGGATACGCATAACTCGTACCGGTCGGGGCTAGCTGGCATAGGAAAGGTACTCGACGGCGGTCTTCAGGTGTGGTGAGAGTAATAAGATGACGGGCCGGAGAAGCACCACAGTCGTCGTACCACCCAGGTCAAGCCATGCCGCCTGCGTGTGTGCACAAAGTGAGGGCCAGTAATTATTCTTACGAATAGTGTAGGTAGGCAAGTCGTGCACTTGTGCCAGCTGGGCCTTGACTCACCTGCAGGGCCTCATGAAGTGTAGGTAGACTGCTGGTGCCATGGTAAGGTACGGTGGTGAACTTGCAAAAAAAAGGGGGTTGACGCTTGGGGACGACGGGAAGAGGAAAAAATAAAATCGAGCCAAATGTACCTTATCCCGTACCTGAGGTGCGCTACTTGTGGACGTCTTAGCTAAGACAAGTACCTTGTTGCCTTGGTCACTGCAAAAGGGTACCGCACGCCCCCCTGCACACCCTCGAGTTTGTGCCTGGACTTGTTAATTGCCTTCGCGCAGTACAGCCCAGCAGTGCCCGGCTTGGTTCCTCTGCCATTCCAGCAGCCAGCAGCCAGCTCCCGTCCCTTTTCCCCCCCTTCAGCACTGCGATCAACCTGGACCAAGGTACCCGTGTACGGAGTACGAGGACCAGGTACTTGCCCGCGAGTGTCTTTCAAGCACAAAATAGCCGAGAAGATACCTGGGACTTCGTACCCGCAATCCCATCACCACCCGGTCCATGCTGGCCCATCCCATCTCGTCCCCTCCCTCCCTGACGGTCGACCTGAGCCCTCACCAGTGACCACACACTCCTCCTGGACTCCTCCCTCTCCTCTTGGTCTTTCTGCTGCCACCCCCGTCCGTCCTTCCTGATCAACCCCCCCGGTCTCTCGTCCCTCGTCCCTTGTCGTGTGTTTCCATCAATCAATCAATCTCCCATCCTTCGCTGCCTCGTCCATCCACATTCCTTCTTGCGTCCCCTTCCATTCCTTTACACCACCCTCGCTTTTTTCTCTCTTCCCTTCCCTTCCCTTTTACTCCTCACGCTCGCTCTCCTCTTGTCGCCCCCACCTCTCTCCCGACCTCGTCTCTTCGACAGTCGAATTTCGACATCCTCTCGCCTCCGTCAAGAATTCATCCGGCGACGTCGAACCTCCTCTCCTCCGATTCTCAACCTGCGCCTCCTCACGCCGTGAAAGGGGTTCTTTTTTGCCGTCGAGCCGATCTAACCGCCCCCCTTATGTGCTTTGGACGCATTTGAAGATCGTCGTCGAGGTTCCGCGCCGACAACCTGCCAGTTTCCCCATGCATTCGACAACGGGAACTGCCATAATCTCAGCCGACGTGACGGATCAATAGACGTCCTCGCCCAATTCAATCCGACGATATCTCGTCGAGTCACTCATTTCACACACCCAAAAACCCAAACGCCATCACGCTCATTGACAATTCCTTGTCAAGTACATTCGTTCTATAACACCCTGACAACGTGAGTTGCCAAGCAGTCTTGCGAGCATCGAAGCACTTACTAACACGGAATGGAGACCCCATCTACTAAACACCAATATTGGTACCATTACAATCGCTAAAGACCTTGAATTGAATATACGATAATCGGGAAACGAAACCATGCACGCCAAGACTGCTCTTCTGGCCGCCGCCCTCGGCCTGGCCTCTACTGCCTGCGCCGAACAGGAACGACCCAAGATTTACTTTCCGCGTCACGTTAAACGACAGTTTGTGAACTCGACGAGTACGAGACAGGAGACGTTCCCCCCGGCGCCCGAGAGCACCACCTTCCAGTCCACCGCGTCGGCCTCCATCAGCTCGACATTTGGTGACATCCTCACCAGCCTTTCGGACTCTCTCTTTGGCTCGTCGTCGACCATTCCCACGCCGTTGCCGACGTCCACAATCTCCTCGGCCCCCGAATCCGCACCCCCGACGACAATCTCCACCACAGTCTCGACCCTACCCGATGGAAGAGTAACGACCGTCATTATTTCGAGTACCGTCATCTTCGACCCGACAGAGACGACCGAGACGACAAGCTCCGCCGTGCCCACATCTACTCTCCCCCCGGTTACCGTTCTGCCGACGACCAGCGAAACCTCGACGGTTTCCAGCGAAGCCGCCTCCACCTCGCAGGCTGCCGCGACCACCCAGCCCACATCGACGACCCCCGAGACCACCACTGCCGCCGTTCAGTCGAGCGCTGCTGCGACCTCTTCCGAGGCTGTTCAATCCTCCGCGGCCGCGACTACCGCTGTCGAGTCCGTTCAGACGTCCGCTGCTGCCAGCACCTCCGAGGCCGCCACCACTTCCGAGGCTGCCCAGTCTTCTGCTGCTGCGACCACCTCTGAAGCCGCTCAGTCATCTGCGCAGGCTTCCACCACCGAGGCCGTTCAATCCTCGGCAGCTGCCACTTCTGCCCAGGCAACCACTACCGCCGAGGCGTCGTCTGTCGTGCCTACCACCGAGGCCGTCCCTAGCTCCGCCGCTCCCACCAACGTCGAGGTCACCAACTCGACCGCCGAGGCCGTTTCTTCGACGCAAGCTGCTACGACCGAGGCTACCACGGCCGCATCCTCATCTGGTATCCTCCTGGCTCCCACCGGCGTCGTGTCCGAGACCACCAGCACCCAGGCTACCACCTCTGCCGAGCAAGCTCAGCGTTCCTCGGTGGCTGCGAACCCCGAGACTACCAGCGCGGTTCCCAACGTCAACGCTACCGAGCCCGTCGTTTCGTCATCCCAGAGCTCCGTCGTCCTTCCCGTTGAGACCACCACTTCTGCCGCCGTTCAGGTGACCTCTGGTGCCTCCACCGAGACCACATCTGCCGCCGTCTCCGAGAGCAGCAAGCCCACCAACCCGTTGGACCCCATTGTCTCCTTCGTTTCCAGCCAGGTTGCCGTTCCCACGAACCTCACCGAGCCTATTGCCAACGCGACGTCGTCCGAGGTCCCTGTTGCCTCGACGTCCGATGTTGTCATCCCGACGCCGACCGCGCTCCCGGCCCCCACGGACCCGACCTCGACTAGACTGCCCATCCCGACTGAGCCTGTTGCCAACGTCACCTCCTCCGTCGATGCCTCTGCTGTGCCCACCACATCGCTCCCTGCACCCACTGAGCCCGTCGCGAACGCCACGACCTCTGTTGAGATCTCTACCGAGCCCACCAGCAGCAGCCTCCCCGTTGTGAGCAGCGAGCCCGTCGTCAACATCACCTCCTCCACCGAGGTCCCCGTGTCTGTCTCCACGACCGCTCTGCCCGCTTCCGATGTTGTCAACGCCACCTCCACCGAGGTCCCCGCCGGACAGACTACCACCAGCGCTCCGGTCACCATTACTGACAGCACTGCCATCTCTGTGCCGACGACCACGGCTACCGGCTCTGTCGAGATCCCCGTGAACACCACCTCAACTGAGACCTTCCCGACTACCACGCAGCTCCCGACCTTGTCTCAACTGCCTACGGCTTCCACCACCATCAGCAACTCGACTCAGACGGACAGCTTGACTGTGGCCCCCACGGTTACACCTACCTCCCTCTCGTCAACCTCCGTCGCCAACGAGACCGCCACGGCCACCAACGTCGTCCCTACCACTACCGAGTCTCTCTCTACTGAGCCTGCCGCGACCACCACTCTTCCCGTGAACACCACTGTTCTCTCGGAGACGTTGATCGAGACCACGCCTACTGTCACTGTGCCGCCGCCTACGACGACTCCCATCATCACGAGCATCCCCGCCACGGCCACCATCACTGACTCGGAGTCTTGGTTGCCCAGCACCATCATCGTCGAGCAGTCCACTTCGCTCAGCACGCCCACAGAGGCCCTTGCCCCGACGTCGACCATTCCCTTGCCTTCTGACCTTCCCAAGGTCATTAGCGGCCCGGACCCGAACGTCGAGCAGCCCAAGGATACCATTCTCCTCCAGATTGGTTTCCTGCACGGTGAGAACTACCAGCACGTCAGCAAGAACCCCAACGCTGCTGCTCAGATCTTCACGTGTCTGCCCAAGGCTTTGGCCGATGCTGCTGGTCTGGACATCAGCCAGATCCAGATGACCAAGCTCGTCCCCTACGACACGTCCCAGACTCTCGGCTACATCACCACGCTCGCTAAGTTCTACTACCCCAAGAGCATGGTCGACACCCTGCGCATGGACATCAAGATTCCCAACTCGGCCATCTACAACAACCCCGATCAGCTCGTCTACAACCTCACTCAGAACATCAACCCTGCCATTGAGATCATTCCTGGCCAAGAGGATGACGGCACTTCCACGGGCGGAGACGGATCGTCGTCTACCTCCACCCCCAACAACCCCAATGACCCCTTCGGCACCGGTAACGACGGCTCCAACCAGTCTCCCATCCAAAAGGGTACTGCCGCCGCCATCGGTATCGGAGCTGTGGGTGTTGCTGCTGCGTACGGTGCTGCCATGTTCATTATCGCCCGCCGCTACAAGCAGAAGAAGCAGGCCCACCGCCGCGCCAGCTCCCTCACCTCATCCGAGATGCGCTACACTGGTGCCGGCAGCCCGCCCATGATGGGCGGTGCCCTGATGAGCCAGGACTTCTCCAACTACGGAGCCGCCGGTGGCCGCGAAAGCCACGGCAGCGGTCGTACGAGGGGAAGCGGTCCCGGCAACTCTGCCAGGACGGCCTACATCTCGGCCCCCGTTGCCGCTGAGAACTCTCTCGGCTGGAACTGATTGACGACATAGACGCCATTTCCATATCTGTCACCATTTTACGCTTCGATACCCTTCTGGAGGATCCTGTTTGAACAAGATGCTAGGCGGTTGCCCGGTATCCACCGACGGCATTTAGAGAGGGCACGCCCCTCGGCCACGAGCCCCATCTGCTCGAGAGATTTCTTTCTTTTTTTGTCATTTTGTCTACAAATACCCTTCTACCGCGAGTCGATCCATGTAGGTCGGCTCGTCGGCACCCTATTACCAAACGCACTCGGCGCCGCCGTGTATCCTGCCCCGTCGCGGGCGGACACGGCCGGTGCGGGTCCATTTTTATTTTTATTTTTTAATATCTTGTATCTGTGTTGAGGATCTATACATGGGGCGAAGAGCTGGATGGTGGGAAGCATCACAATCGCGTCTTTTCACGACATGCGAGGAGTTGGAAAGTGGCTGGGAAAAAACGGCGATACCCTGGGGGAAAGGAATATAGGCCGGGCTTCCTTGTATATTTTTGCAGTCTGAGGCGTGGCCTCTTCACCTCGGTCCTTTTTTCTTCCCCCGGCCTGTCAAGCTGAGATGCCCGTGTGCGTTCGCGCAAGGACGTTTTCAGACAAGGGGTCCCCCTTTTTGCCTGCAATGTCGCAGATACAGCGAATAGAGTAAGAACAAGAGAACGAGAGAACAAAAAAAAAACAATATTAAAATCACTGCGTCCGAGGGTCCAGCGTGGTAATGTGTGCCGACCTGCGCAGGCTGTAAATAGATACCTAGTCATTAGTCGGTCATCGTATATATCCGTTTGCAGCACTTTGGTTGGTCCGGGGTCGAAACGTGCCGGGTGTATCTTGTTTATTTGATGCCCCGGGGGGTTTTTCGCATCCCCCGTTTTGTCGTCATGCCTCGCTGCTATCAATCGGCAAGTACAAGGTGACATTATTATGTTGTGGTAAGTAAGTACGGCATGCAGGTCTCACTTGCCTTGTCTATTAGAAATCAACTAACACTCGAGTTCGACATTACATTTACACTCATCAATCGACTCGATGGCTGCAAGTCTCGGAGACTGCAGCCACTTGATTTTAAGGTGGTCGGCCGTTACAAAGCTTACTTACTAGGGAAACCCACATCACTGGGTCTAAAGTCGATGCAGCTACTGCTGACTTCGATGTCAGGAACATTTTCATCGACAAAGTCACTGAGCCAATCTCACAACAATCCCACATTTTTGCACCAAAACCAATGTATTGAGTATCCTCGCGACCATTGTCGCCTCCCACGTTGCGTCATGGATGACCTGCAACCTATACCGCCTCCTCCAAATCACCTACGACCGTTATCGCCTCTCACATACATCAGTGATGCCTCACGACCGGTGTCGTCTTTTCCTTCCATGTCATGTCTATAATGACCTGCGACCGTTGCCGCTCACTCAGCCCTGCGACGCTTAGCAACCACCAAGTGGTCCTCTTCATTCCTGACCACCACTCTCACGCGCAAGCACGCCGTCTCTGTATCGCGATGGAGCGAACACTTGTTCCCGTCCCAGAGTATGTCCACGTCTCGGGCATCCACATTCAATACTTGCCACAGGCAGTAATTCTCTTTGTACTCGGCTTTCTCTAGAAAGCCGACAATCTTCTGGTAAGCGTCGTCGTCCGCAACAACTCCAGCGAGCTCCTCGATCACGTCCTCGTAGGCCATGCGCTCATCAATCACGTTAAGTGAGATGAGGCGTGCGCACACGGTCATCGCAGTTGCGATCCATTGCTTGTCTGCCTCGTGAGGGAACAGCTTGGGCGTCTTCGCCATGGCTCTTTTGAGGGATAACGGCTCGTCACCCTCACCACTGCCCTCGATGCACATGGCATCCATGAGCCTTTTCAAAGTCTTGGCATGCTCGTCCCGCATCGCGGCGACCTCTGCGCTTGTTTGCGCCTTGGTATCATCAATCTCTCGTGAGAGCCTTGCATTTTCGCTGGTGAGCGACGTAACTTCAGCCTTGGAACGTTGGAGTTCCTCCTTGGCCTCGTTCTTTTCTCTGGTCAAAGTGACGCACTGTTCCAGCAGCCACTTGACGTGAGCATTGTGCTCCGCATTCTCCTTCTCAATCTCCTTCTCTCTCGCTCTCCCGGATTCGCCGTCTGCTTCTGTCATCATGATCGCTGGTGGCATGCCTAGCAATCTTTTGTTGTTAGCGATTGGTTCTCTGATAATGAGCGCCTGGTGAAAGTTGCACTTACGACTCCTTGTCAGATGGTGTGGAGAGAGGAAAAGAGAAAGAAAGGAAGAAAAGGGAAGAAGTATTTATAAGGGTGCCCATACCTTGGGGAAAGCGCCCCACCTAAGCCATCTCGCTCCTGCCTAGGTATCGCAAATCTCCCACCTAGGCAGTCGCTGTCAAATTTGCACCTTCCTCACTGACCTACCTAAGGTAGGTACCTATGCAGAAGGAGAGATGGGCAGGTCAGAGGCTGTTCCTTCCGCTAGCTGAGTATCGCTTAACTAGGTAGTAGCCCCCTCGATATATATCAATCCGTGTAGCTTAACACAATGCAGCGTGTATGTTGACTTGACGGAAAGTGCGCCCTTTCCTCTTATATCATGGCTCACTATGGTGGCAGACTACGTGGCCTACCCAAACAGAGGAGCGACTCCAATAGACAGTTCAAGGCCAGGGAGTCAAGGGCATTATAAGAAGTCACTTAAGTAAAAAGGGGCCATTTCGCATACGTAGGGGGCGATCTCAGCTCAAAGGGTCGTGCTGCCAGCAGATTGACCCCTTTAGGCCGTACCCTTCATAAGCAGCATTCGGACGGAGCTCTTTCGAGAAACTTTCTACCCCCAGCTAAGCAGGTCCTATTAAGCAGGTCTTTTGATACCTGGTCTCCTGGTAACAATATGTACGTCTGTTCGCCCTTCTCATCAGTCTAAGGTGTCCCCAGGTATGTTTGACCATCTCCTGTAATTCAGGTAATAAAATCTCATCATTAGCAGAGGGTTCAGTACCTATGAGGACTGATAGCGGAAGCGGACTGGCCAGTCCCGAGATATGCGCGAGATTCCCAACAGCGAGATGCGCGGCTTTCGTCCCACGTATCGCCGCAGCACTGTCTCAAAGCAAGCGGCAGTACTGTCGAACTAGGCAATGGAAACATTCCTACATGACCACTATCTTCCTCTAATTGAGCCTTAGTTCTTCTCGTCGTATTTTGTTTTCTACTCCATCCACCGGCCATGATCGCCGAGAGATTTCAAGACGTCTAAGGACGACATTTCGATTGAACGTCAAATTCAGGTGGAGAATCAGTCCCAACTCACTCGGAGGATCTCTTACTTTTGTCAAGCAAGGTACCTAAGGTAAGGTAAGTGTTGAGGTCGAGAAGTCGACCTCGAGACGGCGTGTGGACGGTCGGTCCGGCATGCTCTTCTGGGTGGGGCCGATCACGACACTCCGAAAGTGGGTCAACGGAGCAGGAGTGATTGCATGGAGGCTTCATGGCACGGAGACAGCGACTCTAAGACATAATCCGAGAGCACATTGCCAACAGTTCGCCACAATGCGAATACTTGTGATCAGGGAACCTTTTGATCAAACTCAACGTCATGTAGACTGTCTAGCGCTGGACCCTCCAGCCTCAATCCAGCAATTCTCGTCGCCCCCTCAATGTGAGCCATGCAATCCATATTCCCAGCCCCCTCGAAACTCAAAGCCCGCCCGTTAACGAAGATTCGACACCGCTCTTCTGTTCAGCTCGACAACGAAGCTCGGCGCGATCTCTTCTAAGGGACTGCTGCATCAGGCTACGTATCTGTGCCTTTTCTCGTCTTCCATTATAGGTTGCCTTGTAATGAGGGGGGAATTCAACACCTCGGTAAGTGAAGAGGCGGATTCGAACCGGTGTCGACTCGTTCCTACAATACACATCGGCATTCAGGACGAACGGGACTTAGTCAGGGGACGCGGATGAAGCTACGATGAGCTGCCTTGCCGTCGTTCTCATACACCCAGTTCTTCCCTGGCTGCCTCCCGTCGACGCCGTTTGTTGGCTGAAAACGACGAGCTGGGCCTCTCGCGCTTCTGTTCCCCATCACCGGTGCGATCATCTGGTTCGAATTCTTGACTGCTGGCTCGGTCGCCACTGTCTCTGTGTCTCGATGGATAGGGATTTTGCGATAACGTGTTCTAGTGGTGTTAGCAAAAGACTTGGTGAGAAGTTAGGGAATACGTACAAAAAAGGCGGTTGTGTGTTTGTGTAAAAGAGGAAAAGATGAATCGGTGTGGTAGCGCGCTTTGTCTTGCCTCCTTGTGAATTGAGAGCAAGGTCCGGCGCCCACTTCGGTGGCCTCCGTGTGTGGTGTAGTCACCTCGGATCGGTCCGGCCCCCACTGTTTCTGACAGCCGCCGACTCGTGCATCCAAGCAGCCGCCGGGCTGACTACGACAATTCAAGAGGGTCACGGGAAGCGAAAGCACACGTCACAGGATCAGTATTTTGTGATGCAAATTCAATTTAATTGCACTACTCACCCGGTGAAGGCCATTCACGCCTCCTATTCGGGTGCTCACTCACGCCTGTCGGTGTGCTCCTGATGCCTTCCAATGCTCATCCCCGCCCCAATGGGCTCCCCATACCCTCAATGCTCACCCAGGCCTCCCAATGAACTAATTCATGTCTTCTCACAAGCGTCTTCTCGCAATCGCTGTCCCGGTCAGTAACTCCTCGTCCGCTGACTTGCTGCTCTCTGACTGCTTACCTTCTGACGTGTCGTCCTCTGTTATATCTTCTCGTTTGGGGCCAGGGGGCGTGGCGACCGCGTTCGCAACGTCCTGCGACGTCTGGGTGTTGTGGGCCGCGGCATTAAGACCGCTCTGCAACGTGTTTCCGCTGTTGCGGATATGGTCCTCACTAGAGGCACTCCTTTCCTCTAACAATGGGGCGTAGTCGATGAGTTGCTCAGCACTGTATAGGTGTGTCGCCGGATCCTTGGGCAATCCTGCTCTCTCCTTCTTCCAGAGCTTGTGATCGAAGTTAACCCAGGGACGCTCCGACTGCTTCAATTCCCGGACAAAAGCCAAAGTCCAAGGATACACTCCCTGAAGGTCCCAAGACCAGAGTCCCTGATCAATTCTTTCCTTCTCCCACATGATCCAAGGCTTCCGGGAGCGGATGGGGGGCATGTTGATACGGCGGAAGAACATGATCTCGTACTGCTGCATCCAAGTGAGCACGCCAGAGCGCTTGCAGTCATCCCAGTCATGGGCAGTCGTGTTGCATAATGGACAGCCAGAAACAAATCCAGACTCATCGGGGATCGGACAGTCGCAGAGATAGTGGTGCTTGTGCCCACATGAGCCGCAGACGGCAGTGATCTTGAACCTCTTGCCGTGATCAAGACACTCTAAGCCACGAGTCTCGAACTCGGCCTGTCTTTGCTTGGTCAAGTGAACCTTCTTGTGGTAAGGGGGATGGGCCCTGGATTGCCAGATCCACCTATCCTTCATGGGCTTCTTGACCATGAGGCTCTGTCGCCTGGCCCACTCTTCAGCAGCCGGAAAATTCTGAGCGTCCCGAGAAGCCCCGGCTTCATGAATAGGCCGTTGAGTCTCACTTTGGTAGAATGGACTTGTGTTCCGATAGCGTGATCCCTCGCGACTGTGATCGTCACGCTGGCGATACTGCTGAACCTCTCTCTGCTGGTATTGCGGAGGGCTTCTTTCGCGGGATTGATGTTCGGAGTAGCGCTCACGTAGAGGCGAGGATCCAGAATTCTGCCGGACCTCCTTCTGCTGGTGTTGCGGGGGGTTTCTTTCGCGGGAGCGATGTTTGGAGTAGCGCTCACGTGGAGCCGAGGATCCAGAGACGGACGGATGGTAGTCGCTGGCTGTTGGAGGAGCAAAGCGGCTGCTGTTGTTGGTGGCCGGCATTTGAGCCTGGTTGGCCCTCGACTTGGCATCCAATTCCTTGAGTCTGGCGTCAGTGGCACGCTTTTTTCTCAGCCGGTCTCTCCAGGCTTCTTCCTCTGACTTTTGTTCCTCTGACTTTAGTTCCTCTGACTTTGGTTCCTCTGAATTCTCAAAGCGAACCCACATCCTGCTGTATTGACTTCCGTGGGATGACGACCTTCCCAAGTCCTCCAACTTGCGAGTAACCTCTGCCACTGAGCCAGAAAAATAAACAGCCCTAGCCGAGAAACTCGTCGTCGATCCTGGGTCCGGTGGCCCCTTCACCCCCAAGAGATCTCTCAACTCTTTAGCGAACTTTTCCGCGTCGTTGCTCATTTTTTTCGGTAGCAGAAAAAATGGTTGTGGTGGTGGTGGTTGTTCTTGTCGTGATGATGGAGAAGAGGAAGAAAACGAAGAAAAAAGGGAAAGAGAGTGGGCAAGTCCAGTAGTCCAAAAGGCAAATAATAGAAATCACATGACCTCTGAAGTACAGAAGGAAATAAAGGACTGCGTATTCGCTTTTTTTGTGCAGAGGCACACGGGGGCGCGTGATGCCTACAGCTTCCAGGCCAGGCCGAGGCTTGGATGCCTTGGTCAGGCCGTAGCTCACCTGCCTTGGCCTTGTCCACATCTCCAAGGGCTTCCATCTTCTCCTCTTCAACCATCAATCCAAAACAATGTTTCAACATGACCACGCCACGACTCGTACCCACGTTTGAGATGCCTCTGATGAGTGACGTGGAGGCCAGACTGCTGGAAGCTCTTGATCGAGGGAACTCCCTCTATACGATATCTCTCATGTTCCCAGACATTGCCAAAGATATCTGGCAGTTTACTCCCTCGCAGAACAGCACGTTTGGCCAGCTCGATCACGACTGCAGGCATGGCAGGATTTCGTTGATGCTCCTGCATGCGATTCCGCGGAAGCTGCTGAGGTCTCGGATCCAGGGCGCGCTTGCATTTGACACTGTGAACTCACGAGACGCGAGTTGCTACCCGGCAAAATGACAGGACATCTATGTCATTGACATATAAATTTGAAATCGAGGTTAAAAGTTCCTCAGTTACAACGAGAAACCCGCGTCGTCACCGAATTGAAGGATTATATCAAGGCATACAGGATCAACTTGCGAACTCTACAGGGTCAGCAGGCTGAAATTGCTGAGAGGATGCTCGTCAAGAAGGCCTATGCCTTTGATGATGCATTTGGGACATCGGCCACCGACAAGATACGTCTGATTAGCAACTCTGCCGACTTGTTTGTGGCTAATAACTTGGTGAAGGCGCTCCATCGCAGACAGCGTGCGGCTACGGACCCTTGTCAATCCAGTGTGCATCAGATCCAAGGCATGCAGTATGTCGAATCCTCCGGTGACCTTGGTACCCGGGTGCCCGGTTACGCGACCAATACGGCCCTTGGAGGCAAGCGCACGCTGGACCCGACCTCGATCAACACGCCGTTGATACTTCTTCATTCGGCCATCAACGCTTCTGGGCTGGTGCCCAAGACGGTGTCGAGAGTGATACTCAAGACCTGGGAACCCGCACTGCTGCCCATGACAGAAAGGCTCGTCATCTCATTGGCGCGATCCAACTATTTACAGGATGGCTTGAACGTGGCCGAAGGCGGCGGGCAAAGGGGGAAAGACGGGGCCTCAACCTTGCGTCAAATGGAATTTAAAGTGTTGTGTGTGCGGCCCTATCTCAATATAAACATTCAGCTTTACCTCGCCGACCTTGAGCATAGACGCGAGTTTCTCGACAACTTCGAGGCGATTGACAGCGCGAGGGGGGATATTTCGAAGCTGTCTCGTGAATACAACGAGCACAAGCTTACGCTGGACAGACTGCTGAGCCGGTGGGAGACCGAGCTGAAGAAGGTCATGAAGAGCAAGACGGACAGTCTGCGGTTGCAGCACACTGCGGTCACTGCCGAGGAGCTTCAATGGCAGAGGCTCGACGATATCACAATGAGGGTGTGTCGACACCTGGGGATACAAGACGAAGAAGTCGAAGAAGTCGAGGGTGAAGACGAAAGGGTCATAGTCGTGGACTAGACCGTCGTGGGCGTCGTGCCGTCGCAGGGAGGCCGTCGTGGGCGTGACATCGTGCTGTAAACGTCGTGCCGTCGCGCCGTCGTGACCACCATGATTGAGACAGACCGTGGTTAGATAGATGTATGGGCGTTGATAACAAAACTTGTTTCTTGTGAAAACCGTGTGCGATTATGTATGTGCTCCGTTTGTCTCGTTTGTCTCGTCTGTTCCGGTCGTGCGTGTTCAAGTTTGGCGATCTGGACGGCACCGGTTAGCTTTATTCAGTCAGAGGTGCTCGCTATCGGGGTGAAGACATGGCAGCGTGACGATTGGGACTCAAGGGTGAGCGTGTTTGTGAGAAAGCTATATGGTGATTGACTCATCGCCGTACTTAACAAATGCTTGACACTCACTTGCCAAACGTGGCCGCGCGGCACCTTCTCGTACACATTTTCGTACACATTTTCGTATCTCACCTGAGAAATGAGAGGGACCATGTGACTTCATCATGGCCAGCCCAAGTATATAACTCATGGAGATCTCCCCCCTTATCGGCTTCTCACATAGCATCACAGCCTTGAGCATACATCTCTCTTAGTGTATAATAGATTGATCAGCCTTTCGTCACTTGTAGCACTCACCGCTGAGACCCGCGGGCGTGCGACTCGTCGTCATCCCGCAATTACTCTACCTGGCCACAGTACTAGATAATTAGTGGACCGCAGACCACTAGGCTACAGGCCTCTGTAGACGGGTGTCGCGTAGTCAGGATTTCTTGACGTTAAAAATAAGTCCACCCGCGAACGGAGCGAAACGCGGTCGAGATGATCCCACGCCATAGCCATCCCAGAGAACGCTTCAGCTGAAGACATCACAGGCACAAGTAAGTGTTCATGACGGTCGTAACCCCGTTGCTGTGGCTAACTCCAAGATGGACGACTCTTTATAAGAGCTGGCTCGCAGCTGTTCTTCCCGGGCCCTGCAAGTCAACAGACCTGTACCCAGGAACGCCGTAGACGTACGACTCGGCGCCAGGTAGGGGCAGTCACTATGGTTGTCTGCACCGCTGGCGGAAGGCACGTTGACGGGCTGATTACCGCGAGTTCCGTTATGTCAACAAAAGGCCCCTTGCGAGGGTGAGAATCCTCGCGCCTCATCTCTACAAAGACGAAGACCGTCCCGGGGACCGTCTTCATACCACGTGTTTCATGGGATCCGTGCATTTCAGCAGTGCCTCCCTCTCTAAGCGTTGTACTAGACCCTCCAAAACGGCAGACGTGGACCTAGAATCGAAGCCCTATGGAAGGCGTGATAGAATCGAAGCACCAAGTACAGCGTGTCAAATCGCATTCATCGCATTCATCGCAGGGTCAGAACTCGTTCATCGTGTATCCTTCAAAGGGCCGTCACTGTTCTTAGCCGGCTCCGCTTGAGCGTGCAGGAGTAGAGAGACATGCCTAGGCCGATAATGAACCAAGCAGCGGCCTTGGGGGTATGTGGCCCAGATGACATCGAGGACCAAGGGCTCGCTCATTGACTATCACAGCAGCCTCTGCTCGCTGACATCGACCTTATACAAGGCAATCGAGACTGCATCAGCGGCCGGACCAGCGTTGACTTGAAATTCTGTATGGTGGGTTCTCTCACCACCAACGGACTGAGGAAGGTGGCCAAAGACGACCTAAGAGTGTTGACGAGCAGACTAACGCCTGTAGTCTTCTCATCAAGCATAAAGCAACAGATTTATCTCCATGACTTTCACGAACGCGGCATTGGTTCGAAGCACATGCGACCACACTACGCTAGGTCCATGTCGAAGCTCCGACATTCCGCGCGGAGAGGCCTCGGGGCCGTTTGACCCGTACCGGATCAACTCGACGGACTAGCTCAACATTGAGAATGCTTTGACCTCTGTGGGCTTTCTTTGTCTTCCCATCTACGGCGGCACAGAAGGTATCCACTGGGGTGAACCGTTATATAAATACAACGAGGCAGACAAGGAATTGCAACTGCGACGACCGTGTGTACACGCCTCACCTCAACGTGATCAATGTGCGCATACCGCTCGCGACGAATTATACGAAGAAGATGAGATGGAGATGACAGAGACAACAGGTATCGAGGCCTTGCTCATAACCCCGGGCCTGCACGACGCCGCCGCAGTTGATCGGTAAAGCGGGGAAATATGGGTGATCTGGGAACTGAAGTCTGGGTCGCCATTGTGGATGGCCAAAAGAGCCTGCCAATCGAAGAAAAGCTCACTATTGAGCAAGCTCAAAACCATACTGATGCTTACAGGCTATACGCCTACGCTGCATGACCGCAAGATCATGCCTCTCGATGAAAGCGTTACCATTGGGAAGGCTTCACTCTTGCGTAAAGGGCCATGGGTCCATGGCTCGGTATGTACAGGGCGATCTATCAGGCCCTCGTTTGCTGTGGTCCCGCAGAAGGCTCGGGCTGATGGGTTCAGCAGATGGCATGTTCCATGATGATGCGGTAACCAGTCTATTCATCTTCAAGTCTACGACCGATTTTAATCAGGTGCCTACATCTCAGGGAGTGGGCAGCCCCAGCCCACCCTCGAGGACGTCAAAACTAGGTGTTTAACGTGAGACGTGGCGCTGCTGCTTTCAGCATGGCATGTTCTTCTTGGGTTCCTATTGACCATGGACGATCCATGTGGATGCGGGTCAGCAACCGCGACTCGTTGATCGACTATGACTACGGCGTCTGCTCGTTGCCCGCCGATTCCATCATCAGGGATACTGATGGCCTCGTTAGGGGTCACTGGCTGCAGTGGGTGTGGTCTGGTGGGTATGTTTATAGCTAGCCTAGGGGCACATGGGCTCGGCAACTTATAGGTCTCGACGACTCGATATGGCGAGCTCATACAACCTGGTCGGGGGGCCTTTGGGGAGATTGTTGAGAGGAAGAGTAGCCAACACCGACGGCATCTTTGTTTCTACGACAAGGACCGAGGCGTTGGCTCGACTCGATATGACGAGCTCAGAAATGAGTGCGTCAGATATATGCTCAATATCGGGAAAAGATCAATTCGGACACAAACGCGGCATCTGGAAGCGATACGATCACTGAAGAAAACCAAAACACGCCGGGGCATTGGCCAGCAAATTGACGCCGTAGAGAAGCATTTCCCTGGAGCAACCCACAGCGACGGCATACTTTTGTTTAAGAGCTACGACGTGGTCGGAGCTGGGTTGAGTATTCCACATATTGGCATAGAAAAGGTTGTGGGATCAGGACGGCTCACCGAGAGTCATGGTCAACAGATAGCCAAAAGAGCAATAATACAAGTAAGATCTTCAAAGTGTGATCGTACGGTAACTGAGTTTAACCAGACCTAGGTATCGCATGGGTGCCTGGCTCTGTTCAGCCATTAACCTTTCCGGGAGCCGCACGCATCCGACGAAGCCAAATAAAATTGCCGCGTACTACTTGTCGTGATACTCGCCTCGAGGCTGTGACGACGCATGCAATGGACGTTGTTGCTGCATAATTCGCGAGCGGCTTGCCGTAGCGCCAGGCAGCTTGATAATGTCACATTCGGCTTCGGCTTCCATCACAGGTTGGGCGATTGGTTTAGTGGTATAATGACCGCTTAGCATGCGGTAGGTCCTGGGTTCGATTCCCAGATCGTCCAAAATCTTTTGCAATCTGCGTCTTTTTTGCTTGATTCGACAAAGAAAACCACAATGAGGATGTCGCGCTTCAGTTAAACAACCTCCCAATTGCCCTGAAGCTAATGTGCGCACGAGTCGCGATCTGTTGACGATGCAGGGTCACGCAACGCATCAAGGAGCTCTGTATGCTCCATGCCCCCCACTTTAAATCACGGAAGCAGCTTCATCATCACATCTCAAATTGTTTGCACTCCATTATTGATACTGGAGCTAATAGCAACACAGAGAAGAGCCCATCCAGCCCATCCGACCAACGCCTAAGCCATGTCATTGCAATCGTGAGATGTAGCAAGTTTTCCGAAACGCCAGATATCCCGGGGCCGTCCACCCTCATAAAATGTTACAGTTCAATCACGCCTCCTTGGCCACATCGCTAGTCGAGGGCGTCGCAACATCCTCACCGACAGCGGCGGCTCTGAGGTGTGATGGGTGGGCGGGCTCGCTGGGGTTGCCTTGGGAGCTGGTCGCAGGCAGCAGATCCGTCAATTGTTTCTCTAGAAACGCCATTAGCATCGACAACACCGACACATCTTGAGAAACGTACCCAAATCTCTTATGCGGTGACGGAGCATCTGATTCTCTCTGACCAGCATCTGGGTCTCGGCCTGGTAAAAGGCGCTTTCATCGCGACCGCCGAGGGTATACTGTTCGCCGCTGTCGCCGCTTATAGATGTCGAGCGCAATCTCGGGGAAGCGCCGCGACTCGGGGTTCGAGAGCGTCGTTGGATATCTGCTCTCGCCATGTCAAAGGAGCTTCGGGGATGGGGCACAACCGGGGATCGCGAGAAGGAGCCCGAGGAGGGCAGCGGAGCGAAGCCGGATGGCGGCTGCGAAATGGGGGTTCCGTGGGTGGATCTCTCAGAAGCAATCGCCGAGTCCTCGACTGCGGAAGAGTTCTGTCCCTGGCCAGCTTGGAGTTGCTGGAGCTGCAACTGCTGCTGGCGAATCATCTGGAGGAGGCGGTTCTGTGTGGTGTCAGCTTGTATCAAGTTCGATGCAAACCTAGACATACGACTTGAGCTTCCTGCTCGGCTTCGAGCTCCTGGTGGAGCTCTCCCAGACTGGGCGCCCGATTGTGATGGGGGTCACCACCAGGAACCATCATGGGCGAGGTTGTCATGGGCTGCGGACTGGCGGTTGTGGCACCAGTCTGCGCGTGTTGGTTATCTGCGACCATCTCACCCGGGCCGGGAAGAGAAGGATCGTTAAGCTGCAGGTTCATGAGAACCGTAGACAGTCTTCGGCCGGCGTTGGGTGACTGTCGACTTCGAGATACGGAACCGCTGGAGGAGCCTGGTTCAATTAGCGAGAGTTTTC